GATTTTTAAAGACAAAGCCCATCAAACATTAGATAAGCATTTTAAGTTAATGGACCGTGGAGTCCTATTTCCCCACAAACCCGGGAAGCATCATCAGATGTCCTATTTTTACAGCAACATCAATTATTAATATGTATATTTTTGCTGACAGAGGACCTTGCTATAAACGTAAGTTTCGCTATCCCGTTCTGGGTCATTAACTGTGGAAAGCTTGTAAATATAATGGTTTATTCACATGGGAAGCCTTCATTAAGATGCATTATTCTACAGCTGATGTATTTCAATATATAGTGTATTATCATGTTCTCTATTTCCCTTTAATATTCGTAATTTATTTTTAAATGAGTTGCTGTTTATGCGGTGAGTTAACAAATTTGAATTCTATATGACCAAAGTTGCTAACGAGGAAAAGATGTTTTAGCCCAAAGGAAAAGCTGCTCATTAACATAGGACCTAAATAGATTATAACCTTTACATTCAAAAGCAACTAGAGAAAGAAGCTACAAATGACCCCAAATGTATTTTTGTCAGAGAAAGTCTATATCAAGAAACATGCATGAATACACACATATTAACGGCCCAGCATGGTGTAATAGGAGAAACACAGAACGGAAGGAATCGGGAAACCTTATTGCTAGCTTCTTCATTAACGTAGAATGACTTGAGAGAGCCACTTAGGCATGATCCTCAGTTGTCCTCATCTGTTCAATGGGATAGTCACGTCCTCATTTCTACCTCCAAAATGGATGTGAACATCAGTAAGGAAACGTGGAGGAAGAACGCAGAGGACAGAGCACGGGCCACTGGGCTTGTTACAAAAATCTAGTGAGAGTTGAGAGATTTCTCTGCTCCACTCAAAGATCATGGAAGCGCTAGGAAGTTTGCGGAACACTCTGTAGTGTTGAACAATTGCCAAGACGCAAATCAGAGTCATCCACTCACTGCTTCATTTTTAAGGGATGAAAGGGGGAAAAACCAGCTACAATATAGTTTATACATGTACATCTGTGAAAGAAATCTGCTGGGTATTACCATAAGAACAGAGTAATTGGGGGTGAAGCAATACCATATGATTCATTGATAGAGTAGAGAATCAGAACATTAATGCAAGACTTCAAAACAATTTTGCACATTCATTACAGACAAAGAAATTTGAGTCATTTGTAATAACGAGCCATTTTAACATCTTCATGAAAACAATGAACTTTAAAATAGTCATTGCAGAGATCAAATAAAACTTGTTCTGTAAATTATAAACTCCCACTTCATACGTTTAAAATGTAAACACTAGGAATAAAAATATCACCTGAAAGATATTAAGAATTGGATACTTTTTAAAATGATTAAATAAAGGAAATTTCTATCTCTTTGTTTTGGCACAAGATCCATAATATAGTCATGCCTTGAGCGCCTGCATAGAGAGGGAATTTAGATCATTTGTTGTGAACGTGTTCTTTAAACTGATCCTATAATCTTCATTCTAGTTTCACTTTTAAAGCGGTTTTAGCATTTTTTCTACCATAAAAGTTGGACATTTCCATTATACTAAACTCAAAGTATTATATGTGTAATTTTTTTCATCTTTTTCACGGACTTTGTGTTGTTAAGTGGATGCTGTATTCTAATGGCATCTCGATTGTGGTTTCTAGTTGAGGGTCATAGGAATCTCTTGGAGATTGTGTGTGTGGGTGGGTGTGTGGGTGTGTGTGTGTGTAGATGCATACTTGTTACAATTACCTATTTCATCCACTTTGAATCTATTTTAATATATGGCATCAATTGAGTCTTTAAGAATATCTTTTTTCCAGTTAATTGATTGAAATGTATAATTTTGTTAATGTCCCTTGTAAATGTATGTCCTATACTTGAATTTTGTCCTGTATTTGTTTCAAAGCTTTTGAGATGAACTTTGATGTTTTTCTCTTATCCCTGAAATTTTCCTTGTACGGTAACTCCTAGCACTCCTGGGTTCACGGGCTCAGACTTTGGTGCACCTGACGTTATGGTGACAGTCACCATCACAACCGCAGTAAATGCACGGAAGCGTCACTCAGTGCCAGGCTCTGGAGCAGGGCCTCACATAGAGGAGGAAACTGAGCCACACCAGTGTCAATCCTTTTACAAAATCACAGAGGCAGCGGGTGGCTGAGCCTCAACTCGCACACAGGCTTCTGTCCCAAACCCCAGAGCGTGGCTTTAGATCAGATAAACCAGGGGTTGTTTCCTGCCTCTGCCATTTGCCAGCTATGTGAATTTGGGAAAGCTAATTAGCCTCTCTGGTTCATTTCTTTATATTCTACAAACGCCAGCCTGGCCGGATTACTATAAGCGTTGAGGGATTACTTCTGTAGAGTGAGCATGCACTCACGCCAGAGTGATACCTGCATCTTCTTCTTGAGTCTTCTATTAAACAGCTCCTCCTCCTCCCTGCTCTCCCTCTCCCCTTTCCTCTCCCCTCCTCCCTCTCTCCCTTCTCCTTCTTTGTCAGTCTCTGCCACAACTTTTCCACATTGTCCTTGGAGTGTGAAAGCCACAGACAGTATGTAAATGAATGGGCTTGGCCATGATCCAGTATAACTTTACTTACAAAAACATGCACGTGGGTCAAGTTTGACTTGTGGGCTACAGGTTACCAAACCCTAAACCTGGATAATTATCAGAATCACCTGAAGATTTTCAAAAGTTACTAGTTTCTTCCTGTTTCCTCACCCCCAGGATGAAACTGGGAATCTGTTTTTTTAAGCTCTCCAGAATTTTGAGAGGAAAAAAAAAAAAAAGAAAACTTGGAAAAAATTACTCATCAGTGTATTTGAGGATATGCTGCATCTAAAAAAATTTCCCCAAACAAGATGACTACTAAAAACAAGAAGGGAACAAAAATAAAATAAGAAAGAATTCTGGGGAAATAAAAAGCATGCCCCCAAAGGCAAAACAATAACCCCCCCTAAAATGTTAAATAAATGCAAACAAAAAATGGACATAACTGAAAACCAAATGAATTCTGGAAGATAAAGTTCAAGAACCTCCTATAACATAGTACAAATAGATCAAGGAGAGATGGAACGTACAAGAGAAAAGTGAGTTGCGGAAGATTAATCTGGTGGCCTGGCGTTTTATCTAATATTTGTTGCAGAGAGAGAAATGGGGGAAAAGGAAATAACAGAAGGGAAATTTTCAGAGTTGAAGACATAATTATGTGTATTGAATGGACCCACCAAAGGGAGAATATGGTGAGTGAGGACCTGCCCACACCTAGACGCATTTCAATAAACATTCAGAGCTCCGAGTGTAAAGCAGGAGGGAGAACAGCTTATCCACAAGGAACAGCAGTGTCCAACAAGCCGGTCACTGGGTCTCTGCATGCTAGAAGTCTCCTCCAGGGAAGCTGCCACACTCCCATTCAGGTGGGAGGGGCCCAAGGAAACACCTCGGAAGGGCAAGTACTTGGAAGGTTCACAGTTGCACGTATGCATTCTGAAGATTACTCTCATGTGCTTGCTTCAGCAAAATGAAAACTGAACACAAGAAAGACGAAGAGTAAACAGAGGAATCAGAACAACTTAGGGTTAAATTTAAATAGCATTTGCTAATTTCCATGACGTAAATATACCCATTGTCGCCCAGTCAAGCTACTAAGCAGAATAACACAGTTGGGAAGATACGCCTTCTGGCATACCATTATATAGTATTTTCACCATAGAGATACAACAGACATCAATAATGTCAAGAACATAGATGATATAGTAATACCCAGCAAAATAATTAGGAAGTGATGAGTTTTGAGAATTGAGAACTTTGTAATATAATTTGCTCCCTAAGTTTCTGCAGTTTAGCATTTTAGAATGGCTATATTTAACAACCGCTTGCAAAGTTCTAGAAAATGTGTCAGTTGGCTCTCATGAGCTATTATGGGCTGGCTCCAGCACACCAGTGAATATGCCCTTTATTTGCTGAATGGCCGAGGCTGACTTTGAAATGCGTAGAGCTCGGATCCTTTGTGAGGGAGACCGTCGTTCAGCTTGCAGAGGTGGGATTCTGGGCACCTCCGCCCCGTACATGTTTTCCTTCTCCAAGTCCCTTTTAGTTCAAAATCTCCATCCAAACCCATGTTGTAAGGTCTTGGTTATCTGACATTGTTCGCTACTACGTCGTATGTTACTTTTCTCTTGCCAACTCCATTTCTTTAAAGATTCTAGAGAACAGGAATTATGTCTCAAAATGATTTGGGTTGTTTTGTTTTGTTTTGTTTTTTGGCTTTTTTTTTAAGTAGACTCTCCACCCAACTTGAGGCTTGAACTCATGACCTTGAGATCAGGAGTTGTATGCTAAACTGACTTAGCCCCCCAGGCGCCCCTCAAAGTGATTTTGTATTTTCTCTTACCACAACCCCCATAGACATTAGATGACAGAGACCAGTGCTGAGCATTTGACTGGTGCTTAATAGCCAGACTTCTGTTGACTTGCTAATCAGCAGATTTTGAAATAGAACATTCTAACAAAAAGATGTAAAATCAGGATGAATGTCTGGAGTCAGCTGAGAATTCCTACTTGGGAGGCCTTTAACAATAGAACAGATGTTTGCAGAGTTGATTTCGGGGCAGTTTTTCTTAAAATCAGAGCACCCAAACTTTTTATCAGTCTTTCTTCAAGTACTTTCTCCCTCTGTATTCTTTGTTCTCCCATTAACCAAGAACATTCGGAAACGCTTTCTGGAGTTTGAACTCTATTTTTTTAATGTTTCTTGACTATGCATTTTTCAAGCTAACTCCCGCCCCCCAGATTCTGGGAAATGGTATAAAGTGTTCCCCATCTTTCCTCTCCATAGTGGTGAATCATTTCTTCAGATTTTCCTGCCAGATCTGATTCTTTCTCTCTGTATGTATTTGTTGTAGGCCTTGATAAGATGGTGTCAAAGATATTGACGTACTTCATTAGTGTCTGATGCCCTTCACCAGTACAATAACATTTATGATCTCAAACCTTTTTGCTTGTGTTTTCAGAAGCCACCTCCTCTGTTTAATGAAGTCAGTGCTACAGTAATCCAGGCTGAAAAGGTGAGCTCCCTAAGGAATGAGGTCCAGATAAAGCATGAGGAGAACTACAAAGAAGCCTTGGTTACAATCAAGGATGACCTGAAATTAATAGAAGGTCCAGACATCAAGGAGAACCTTCAAGACCAGATCCGGCATTGGTTCATCGAATGCAGGTAAACGTGAGCCGCACCGAGATATATCCTGACAGCCCCTTCTGTAGGGGTTGAGGCTCTTGTATGTTTTCAAGCACAGAAGTACATCCATATAGATTCATGGGGATTTGGGCTTCGCTTTAGAAGAGTGAAATGTCAAGGCTAAGAATTCAGGAACTAATTTTTTTTAAATGAGATTGCTTTTTGTGCTGGTGTTTGCTTTTTTAAAATAAGGTCCATATAATGGGACGCCTGGGTGGCTCAGTCAGTTAAGCATCTGACTCTTGATTTCAGCTCAGGTCATGATCTTGGGGTTGTGGGATCAAGCTCCATGTCGGGCTTTGCCCTGGGCATGGAGCCTGCTTAAGATTCCCTCTCTTCCTCTCCCTCTGCCCCTCCCAACCCCACTTGCAGGCTCTCTCTCTTTCTAAAAAAATAAAATAAAATAATAAGTATATAACATTGAAAATATACTTTTAAATAAATAAATAAATAAGGTCCCTATAATGCTCCTGTGTTCACATGGAATTGAACGTCACGGGTGGGTTTCATGGGCCAGATCTGTCTGGAAACCAAGGGGTCCAGGCACAAGCAGGTCCTGCTGCCCTCCCCGCTGGGGTCTGGCCTGCCTCTCCACGTGCATAAGCCTCGAGATTCTCAATCACAGCTCTGCTCTGTCAGAATTCTCTGAGACCGCTGCTTACCCTGTGACCTGATACGGAGGCCCTGGGCCTCCTTGAAGTGATGGGGGGGTAGCAGTTCTGGGGACAGGGCCCCAGGGCTTCCTGCATGAAGTGTCTTCTTTAATGCTCCTGAGTGAAATGTAGTGATTTAAAGATTTTTTTTTTATTTTTATTTATTTGAGACAGAGAGAATGAGAGATAGAGAGCATGAGAGGGAGGAGGGTTAGAGGGAGAAGCAGACTCCCTGCCGAGCAGGGAGCCCGATGCGGGACTCGATCCCGGGACTTCAGGATCATGACCTGAGCCGAAGGCAGTCGCTTAACCAACTGAGCCACCCAGGCGCCCGAAATGTAGTGATTTAAAGCTTGCTCCCAAAAGAGCGTTGTCGAAAGGTATTCGTTTTTAGAGAAGCACACAGAGTAGCACAGACACTTGTGGACCACAGAAGTTTCCACACAGGGGAACACACACTTTGTAGAAAACCTAGTTAGAGCAGTTTTAAAATCTATTTTATTTCAAGAAGGGGAGAAAAGGAGGGCAGATTGTAGAGATCAGTCCCAGGAGACATGGAGGCCAGACTCAGCCTCTGTTTCCTTTAATGGGCACTGTGCCACATCCCATTGGGTTCAGAGATGCTCAGACACCCACTTAAGTTAGCTCATCAGAACCGGAGATTTTAACTGTCAGCAACAGAAAATCAAACTTCGTCTCAACAAATGACATTAAATGATATTCATACCCACGGCAAGCAACCTCTGAGATGACCTCCAGTGACCTCACCTTTTGTTCCTCATAATGTCCTCCCCTTGAGTGTGATCTAGACCTAAAACTTCCCTTCTGAAGGAAAAACAGTGGCAGAAGTGATGGGTGTCACTGCCTTCATGCCTGCCTCTCTCGCCGTCTCTCTTGCTCTGTGCCTCGCTGCTCAGAGAAAAGTCAGCTGCCGTGTTGTGAGCTGCCCAGGGGAGAGGCCCATGAGGGAAGGAACTGAGGGCCTCACTCCAGCAGCCTGGGAAGAACTAACTTCTGGTCAAATCCACTGTGAATTGTCCCCCCAGGGGAACCTTCAGATGAGACTGCAGCCCTGGCTGATGCTTGGTTTGCAGCCTGTGGGGAGACCTTGAGGCAGGGGCCCCCAACACAGCCACATCTGGTCCCTCCCCACAGAAACAGTGACCACATAAACGTTCGTTGTTTCTGTCACTAAGTTCTGATGTAACATGTAATGCAGCAGTAGATATCAAATATGTATCAGTTACTTTTACAATGATTTAGAGACATTTCAGCCATCATAAATCCTCTTGTGGTAACTTTGTATGGGATTCTAATACATTGTTTCCTCAATAACACTTAAGTTTTATAACAAACTATGAATGTTTGATATAGCAATTAATTGCTTTTGATTGAGGAGTTCTGTCCTTTATTACACAAATACAATTTTAAAATACTGATGATATTTAAAAATTCATAATTCATTAAACTTGTGAACTTTTCTTCTGATATCTTATTTGTCAAGGATATGTTATAGCAAAACAGGACACTTTCGGTGAAAAGATATTTAAAGTGAAAAGTTAGAGATTGTATTAATTCTGTGCCAGTAATGATCATAAACAGGTGAATAAAGCTATTGGCAGAGAGGGAGGCATATATGTGCACATACATCCTCCCTTCTCCATCACGTTCTTTCCACTCCTATTCTGGTGGTGGTTTCCTGGGTATAGAGTCAGAACTTACCAAACTCTACACTTTATGTGTCTCTCTCTATATATATCAATTATACATCAATAAAGCTGTTAAAAATGTAATGGCATTATATCAGCAAAGATATCAGTGTTTTTAGCTCTTAAAAATAGCATGTTTTTCTGTTATCCAAATATCAAAACCCAGTCTTGGGTTTTGTCCTCAGACTGCCCGCTCTCCTGCTCACAATCTAAGAAAAACTTAGCTTTGCCCATTGCAGGTAACTCAGGGTCTTCTGGTTTGAAATAGTCTCTTTCAGATGAACTGTCTATTTTGAGTATATTTGGAGTCAATTCAAATGCCTATCAAGAATGTTATACCACTCTTCTTCCCCTTATGACATCTGATGACAAAGGGAAGTTAAACCCTCACACCGATCCTTGTGGGTTGGACCAAGCGTGAACAAGGTCTGGGTGCACGCTGTTGACTGTGCCCTGGCCGGGTCCTGCAGGTGGTCAGTGGAGTTATGTGGTCCAACGCAGAGTGGCCAGCCCACTTGGTCCTTGGAAGGCTTCCTTCTGCAACTTGTGATTTCCATCACATGCCCCAATCACTGGGCACCTGCAATCCTGGTCTCTTGTTTCTGAGCACACCTTCGCTGGGATGCCGGTTCCCTCGGGAACCCCACATCCCCCAGGAGCACAGCTTCAGGGCATGGACATGGGCAGCCTCCTTCAGACCCTCATCCACCAAGTCCCCTCCTCCTCACCACCATCTGACTCCCTTCATCCCCGTCCAACAAGCTGCACACGCAGGAAGACAAGCATGACCCAGATGTTCCTAGATTCTCTTCAGCCACTTTGGAAGTTCAGCTGGGATCTCAGCACTCACCCCCTCCTTCATCAAGACCCCTAGAGAGTGAGGCTCAAGGACTCAGGCTGTGTCCCCACTCACCCGCCTTCTCTCGCTTCCTCCCACCACCTTCTGCCTAACTTCTTGTTCAAGTCGAGACTCTTTAGGAAACCCTCCCTAAGGAGTCTCCCTCCAGAATTCCTCCCTGTCTCCTGCTTGATCTGACTGGCCCCATGCCCACCATTCCTGCCCCTGGAAATTCGCATAATGATTAAGAACACAGGCTGGAGATTGCTGTGTAGCCGTGGGCAGGTCATGTGGCTTCCCTGTGGGTCAGTTGCCCCCCACCCCGTGCTATGAGGACAAGACTCACACCTACTCCATGGGGTTGCTAAGAAATGCAGGGCACTTAGACCTGTATGCCAGGCCAGTTTCTGTTTCTACGGTGCTGTAGCCACCTGCTCACTGAGTGCCCCTCCCCTAGTCACACAACAAGCCCGGCAGCCCAGCCTGGCGTGGAGAAGGGAGGTGTATGAATTCCACGATTAAGCAGTGGATCGTGCAAGCCATGATCCCGCAGCACTCCACTCTTATCCAATTACCCAATCGTGTCCAGAGGAAATATACTTGGGGTGATTTTGTGCAATCGTGGACATTTAGGTAGAAAGGCATAGTTTCAAAAGAATGGAGTCTTCCAATGAAATCACACAGATGTATGATAAAATTCATTTTTAGAGTGAGAAGGATACGCCCTGTGTTCCCTACCCTCAGTTATCAGGACCTTCTCTCCCCTTCTCTCAGGACTGCAGAGAATAGGTTTCCCACAAATATGTTTACGATAAATGAAATGATGCTATACATTTTAAAGTCTAATTTACAGCTAGGTGATAAAACCAAGTTGAAATCAACTGTGTACAGTTATAACCCAGAATAAGCTGAAATCTATAAAATATACCTACATACGCATCTATATTCATATACATATTTATCTTATTAAATATATGTTTGTATATGCATGGAAAATTTCTGGAACGATAACCCGGGAAACTGTTAGCATGTCTACGTCTGGGGTCTAGTGTGGTAATGTTACTTTTTATTTTATATTCTGTGCTATTGGATGTGTTTTTTAACAAGTATTATTTTTACAATAAAAAGCGACATGAAAAATATATTAGAAAGCAAAGAAAGAGAGCAATTTGGGATAATCCAAAATAAATATTTAAAATTTTAAAACCCTAATTTTCAGAAAGTAGGTTAATGCAATCACCACATAATACTCTTGGAAATCATCCTCTGATAAAAGAATTGGGAGACATGAGGCTGGTGGTAAATGTGAGTTCTCTTCTGGAAGGTTCACAGGAGAACTTGGCAAGCCCTGGTGTCATCCTAGGAAGGGCCCCTTCCATTGTGCCAGGGGTTGTGGGCTCCTCTGGAGACCCAGCCCTCGCTAGCCAGTCCCTTGAGAACACTTCATCCTGATGTCACTGGCCTGACCATTTGGAGGCCGAGTTAAAGCAGCTTCCATGGAAATCCAAATCAAAACCTCAATGAGATACCACCTCACACCAGTCAGAATGGCTAAAATTAACAAGTCAGGAAAAGACAGATGTTGGCGGGGATGTGGAGAAAGGGGAATCCTCCTACACTGTTGGTGGGAATGCAAACTGGTGCAGCCACTCTGGAAAACTGTATGGAGGTTCCTCAAAAAGTTGAAAATAGAGCTACCATACGATCCAACAATTGCACTACTGGGTATTTACCCCAAAGATACAAATGTAGGGATCCGAAGGGGTACGTGCACCCCGA